TTTAAAAACAGGAGTTAGTTTTAAATTACTGCTTCTTCTTGTTGGTCATGTTAGTCACCAGTTTGTCATGAAATTACACAAATAAAAAGAGAAATAAAGCTAAATTTAAATAAATAAAAAGGGTATTAAAGGTGATGATGCATCTAAAGTTTGACAACATTAGTCCACATTAAATTAAATTAATTATAAATGCACGTGAGGATAATATTAGTGCATAATAAAGAATTATAAACCTAAATAATATACTTTATCAAATAAATAAATAATTATATTTTAATCATAATTTCTGCTGTTTGTTGTAAAGTAGTTTGCACATAATCAGTAATTACACTAAAGCATGTTTAAATCAGAATGTTAAACACAAACAGATAATTAATGTTTTAAATTACGCTAAAATATGAAGAAAATGTTGTAAAAATGATTAAAACTAAATAACTTTAACTGGTTTTAAAGGTTTCCCGGCTGGTTAGCATCATGCTAACAGTTTAGCCGAGCGGTTAGCCTAACAGTTAGCCACATTTAGCATAGCAGCTAATAAATTAGCAGCGTACTCCTGCTAAAGGGGGGAGGGGGGGGGCTTTTGTTTTTGTGTTTACCTCGTAGCGTCCGATGTGTGGGCGCGGAAAAGGCTCAGAAACACGGGGGGGAAAGTGAGAGCACACGGAGTGGGTCCCTCCTGCCCGTTAGTGGGGCCTTTTTCTTCATCCGTGGAAAAACACCGCGAGAGGCCTGGCTCTCCATCTGCTCCGAAACCCGCGAACAAAAACTATTTCCGCTGGCCCGCTCCGGTGTGTCCATCGTCCGCCGCCTCCGCCCTCCTGCTGCTCCGCCGCCTCCCGGCTCCTCCGCACCCTGGACGGAACCTTTACTTCAGTTTCCGTCGTGTTTTTGCTTCTTTTCCGCGCGGGTCGGCTGTTCTCCGCCCTTGTCAGGTTTAGGTGTCCCCCCCTCTGGAGACGACGATCCTCCGATGCTGCTAGCGCTGCCGCCGCCTTCACGGGGTGCCCAGAAAATAGGAAAACTGAGGATCCAACCCGTAGAGTCCACGTTAACCTCAACTCAAGTTTATTTATTAATTTTCGGACATATTAAACATTTCTTTAAATTTCTAAAAGTGCCGACAGATCATGTTCAGATCTTCTAAATATGACCCGAGCCGTGTGGGATTAAAAAGGTGCATTCAATAACATCAAAGTAAGAACAGAGAAAGTCTGTGAAAAACAGTTTTGATTACAAACACAACTGATTTAAGGTAAAATGAGACATATCTATTTAACTGCTTTATATACCCCCTTCATTATATTTTATTCAATTACAACTGTTTATACATTAATCTGTAAATATTCATAGTCGTTACATATTGCTATTTGTACACGCTGCTATATTTCTAATTATGATCCTACTCATTTTATATATATTGTTTAATAAAGTATTTCTGATTCTGCAACAATCTGAGCGTTTAACAACCTCTCAGGTTACAGACAAACTGCTCGGGGAATCAAACTTATTTTAATTAAATTTGCAGTGAGGTGTTATAACTGTTGCACTAAAGTGTTTTTCATACATTACTTACATCCCTGAAAAAAACAGCTGTGATGCTGTCTAGTGTCTACCACATGAAAAAACTGATTTTATTCAACCTGTTTTACTTATTTTTAATAGGAATTAAAGGCAAAAAATTACAGATATTTAATATTTGGATTAGTATGCGCTGCTTTCTGTAAATTAACTCTTAAAAATATTCAATTTAAAGGAGCTAAAAGTTGTAACCGTTGGCTCCTGTCCAGAGTTACCCTGTTGAGTCTAAATATTAAATTAAAAATGTCTTCTCTTTTATTAACATGACTTCTTCACACCTAGAGAGAAGAGAGAAAGAGAGAAAGACTTCAGCAAGTGGAAACTCCGAGCAGCACGTGAACGCGGCCTAAAGTGGTAGTTTCCTGTCAGCGTAATGGTTCCGGGTAGAACCGGGCACAGGTTGGTTCTGTTCACGTCCACCTCGGCCCCGTGTTTACTAAACACTCTCCCGGTGTTTTCTGGCACCGTGTGTATGTGTGTGTGTATGTACGTGTGTATGTGTGTGTGTGTGTGTGTGTGTACGTGTGTGTGTGTACGTGTGTGTGTGTACGTGTGTGTGCTTTCACACTAAATGTGTGAAATCTTAATGAGTCAATTAAAGAAATCATTGAGGCGCGTGCTGCATAACATTACAGTGTGGATGTGTGTGTGTGTGTGTTTGTAGGTGTTTAAAATCTGTGTGTGTGAGAGAGAGTGTGTGTGTGTGTGTGTGAGTGTGTTAGTGTGTGTGTGTCTGTGTGAGTGTTTGTGTGTGTGTGTGTTTGTGTGTGTGAGAGAGAGTGTGTGTCTGTGTGAGTGTTTGTGTGTGTGTTTGAGTGTGTGTGTGTCTGTGTGAGTGTTTGAGTGTGTGTGTGTCTGTGTGAGTGTTTGAGTGTGAGTGTTTGTGTGTGTGAGAGAGAGTGTGTGTGTGTGTGTGTGTGAGTGTTTGTGTGTGTGTGTGTGTGTGTGTGAGTGTTTGTGTGTGTGTGTGTGTGTGTGTGAGTGTTTGTGTGTGTGTGTGTGTTTGAGTGTGTGTGTCTGTGTGAGTGTTTGTGTGTGTGTGTCTGTGTGAGTGTTTGTGTGTGTGTTTGAGTGTGTGTGTCTGTGTGTGTGTTTGAGTGTGTGTGTTTGTGTGTGTGTTTGAGTGTGTGTGTCTGTGTGAGTGTTTGTGTGTGTGTTTGAGTGTGTGTGTCTGTGTGTGTGTTTGTTTGAGTGAGTGTTTGTGTGTGTTTGTGTGTGTGAGTGAGTGAGTGAGTGTCTGTGTGTGTGTGTGTGTGTGTGTGTGTGTGGTGTGTGTGTGTGTGTGTGTGTGTGTGTGTGAGTGAGTGTTTGAGTGAGTGTGTGTGTGTGTGTGTGAGTGTGTGTGTGTGTGTGTGTGAGTGTGTGTGTGAGTGAGTGTGTGAGTGAGTGTTTGAGTGTGTGTGTGTGTGTGAGTGTGTGTTAGTGTGTGTGTTAGTGTGTGTGTTAAAGACACACATATTTCACAATCTGCTGACTCAGATTATCTCTAATAAAACACATTTCATTAAAAACATTCGTCTCTCTTCATGTTGAATTTAGTTTTTCTGTCTGATGTTTTTTCTTTCGGAGTCCTCGCTGCATACGACCGTCAAACAGGAAGTGGGCCGGGTCGCGTATGGACTCTGACACACCAAGCAGGCGTAGGCCGACTGTGGCGTCGCCTCACGTCGCCTTTTGTCTCACTTGAACACACTAAAGACGTACGACCTTCTCACCAGACGACCTCGGCCTCCTGACAGAGTTACATCGTGCTGAGAACAGGCGAGCGAGGGCGCCATTCTCCCCGTTGGAAGTTATTGTTCTATCAGATCCACGTTGAAGGGGGAGGAGTTACAGGGGGTCGCAGCACGCCATCATCACACAGAGACACTGAGACGGTTTGGTGTTAATGTTTTTATTGTTATTATCAATCAAACTCAAGAATCGATCACCAATAACAAAAGAGAGCGTGAGACCTTTGATTGGTTGTTCTTGGAAATAGACATTTAAGGGGTGTAATAAATAAATGTATCATACAATTTGAGGTATGCAGAGTAGCTTTGAGAATACAAATACGCCCATGCCCCCCCCCCCCTCCCCCACCCCCGTCTTAATGGTAAACACACACACACACACACACACACACTCAAATGAGCATTAAACTGAACATGAACGTCTGAAGGCATGAGGGGAAATGAGACATTAAAATTCATCTGAATGTGAAGTTATCGTTTAAACCCCACAAAGCTTTCCCGTCCCGTCGATACATCCGCTGCCAAAACTCGCCCAAGCAGCGATTGGCGTTGCTAAACTCAAAGATCGCATTTACACGACAACAATTTCAGCTGAAAGCGGGCGACCTTTTGTTTCATTTCGGCCGATCGTTTACAAGACGACGGCGTGCTGGAGTCCTGAAAACACAAACGTTTTGAAAACTGGTTCCAGGGTGTAAACTTTAGAAAAACAGCAGCGTCTCATGCATTTCATTTCTGTAAGTTTACAAACCAGCGCTCTGAAAAGGAGCGTGTGCACGTTGATTCATCACAAAGTCACAGCGCCGCCTGCTGGTCGGTCATGTTTACTGCAACGCCTTCAGTCGTTTTCGTGGATCCAGGTGCACGGCGGGTTTTAATGGAAGTCGTGTTGCAACATGGAACTTTTTTGGAAACGATTCAGTTTTCAGTCGATCGTCAACATGGCGTGTTTCACTTCCTGCGTTCAAATCAGTGCACGAGTTAAATACGATCATTTCACGTCAGCGACACATCAATCCAGTGACATCACAAAATGTGTGACGTCATTTCAAAAACCAAAACAAGTTTTCAGTTGTTTACAGTTTCTATAAAAACTCTCGCTTTGGGGAACGTAGCTCGCCATCAGACGCTGCCGTTGATTAAAAACTCTTTAAATTTGTAACAATGGCGTGCGGGTTCAGTTCTGTTAAAAGCCAATACAAAAAAAAAAATCGCCCTCATGTGGCCGTTAAAAGTGACGTTCAGCATTCCCAAAGAAGACGACGACACAGAGAGAAACACGGGTACACAAATGAAAACAGACACACGTACACGCCGTGACATCATGAGTCGGCACTATGACATCACCAACACTTCTGACATCATCATGCGATTTCCTCTTTTCTTTGATTGCGTCGGCTCAAATGAGTTTTTCTTTTTTAAATTCCACTAAAAAGTTTGAATGTTGAAATTTTTCAGGATTAAACATCAAAATTCTGATTTAAAAAAAAAATAGAAACACGTTGAAGTTTTCAAAGTCTGATCGAGGGCGAGGAAGATCGCTAACCGTTAACGTGAGCAACGTGTCTCGTGGTTAAAGATAAAATCACGCCTCACGAGGGGAAGCTGAAAACCTCAAACGCCTCACGAGTCCCTTAAACCCCGAAGAAGACTAGAAGGTCTCACAGCCAGAAAAAACTAAATTAAAAA